CGTTACCTAAATTGCATCACTAATCGATTCTGACCGAATGTTGAGCATTTTCAGACAAACATGGCTTGGCCATGTTAATACACCTTGTTGAGTTCTCGAACTGCAATCAAATCTTCATCTTTAAATTTCCATCAAACATATCGACCTACAGTCAATCTTCGCGATGTCCTTACTGTCTGTAGAACCCAGACAAAACATTCTGACAAAGCTCCTGAATTCTAACGGTATATAAAGTGCCCACTAAACCATTGTAAATTAACGGCAACGGTGCTTTATTGCATGCGGCCGTTCAACGTCTGATTTCTGCAGTTTATTGGCTTTAAAATACAAACAGAATTGATCTTACTGCCGTTGCTGGTTTCTGCTTTGGTTGCAAGGTAAAAATAACAATGAAACGAAGAAAACCGTATCCCTTGCTGACAAGTAGGCCATATCCGGGATTTTTTGGGGAGAGGGGTCACAACAAGAGGGGCTTTTGCTAACCCTGTGTTCACCTTTGGTAAGGCTCTGGCTACGTCCGTACCTACACACAAAAGCAGATCAAGTCGCCTACGCTGAATGATGGGCAATCAATTGTCCGTTGGACCAATTCATACCTGAGGCAGGCAGCTTCCTGTTTTTTTTTTCTGGGGTGGTGTGGTGTAAGGGAAGATTTTTCGGAAAAGATACTCTTGCAGGTATCCAACATGTTTTACACACTAATTAGTAGCAATGCAGATCAAGAAATATTCAACGAAGCAGCCACACGATCAGTTCATTAGTCAAGCGGGAGACAGCCGGGCCCGGACAGTGGCCGCCGGTGGCAGACGGGAGCAGCGCTCAGATAAGGAATATATGACAGAACGGCCTTCAGTCTGTGGCTTGGTTGTTAAAGAAGAATGTCTGGCTTTATGGCCTTTGTCACAGTGTTTCTGGCAGTTGCAGGGTTCGAATTTGTTTCCGCCTAAAATGCTGCGACAAGTCTTATCTCTTGAAAAGCAGCCAGCGAAATGCAGGCGCATGAAAAATAAGGCGCACTAGTAGCCGTCGACTCACACTCAAAACTCTCATCAGCCTATGTCCAAGCCATATTTTGGTGTCTACCCTCTGAATGCAAAGCCCTCCTCAATGACCCAAAATCAAAAAGCCGTTCGTGGAATTTTGCGCCCCCAGGAAAGACAATGTTGAAATGAACGAATAATCTTTGGAAGCTGGATAGCCTTATTTTCCGAATGACATAGATGAGTCGTATAGACAAGATTGCGCACCAGTGAGAAACAGTTCTAGATGCATATCTGGCATAGCGGCATGACATTTGAATAAAGAGCGGTAACAACCTCCATCTCTACACCCCCCTCCCCCCTCCTGGCCATCGGGCTTGCTTTGCAGAAAAAGTTCTTGAAATATGCTCTGAGCTTGCCTCCCACACACTTTTCGAAACGTTCCTACGCCTTTGTTCCCAAGCGACCAGGAAAAGTTGCAAGCGAAGGTGAAGGACCCACGAGAAGAAAACAACTCTTCAATAATTGAAAAATTGTGAATTGTGAATTCTAAGCCTCATTACACTGTCTAGGGGCGCTATGCTGTTTCTAGGAAACCTATATACTCACTTGCAGGGTCATTCCGATCGTTAAGAAGCCTACACGTTGCCCATGATCTCTTTGCATTTGCTCGAAGAGCCCTGGGCTATTGCTGGAGCCTTCCTGCTAGCGTGCCAGGGCACTGTTGTCAATCACGGGCCTTTCCATGGATTCTTTCCATTCACCAGAAAGGCTCCGTGGACTATAGCTGGGCCCCCATATCTTTACTTGCCGCAGTACTCTCGGTTGCTCATGGGTCCTTTACGTGGCTTTCTGTTAACCTACCGACACACTCGCGATATGCTCATGGGCCTTCTGCATTGGTCTAGAGCGCTTCCAATTCTCTGTCAGTTGCTGAGGGCCCTACGCTCTTGTGGAAGACCCATCTTACAGCCTGCTTGGGCACACTCGGTCGTTCGCGGACTCTCTGCACTGGGTCTTGGGTACTTTTTATCTGACTGGATAGGGGGGGGGGGGGCTACGTTCTTGTGGGGGCCTATGTGATAACCTGTTCGGGCACATTAGATCGCTCAGGATCAGGATCGCTTTGTTTGGTCTCAGGCACGTCCTACTTGAACGGAGGCCCTACGCACTTGTCGAGGCCTCCCCCTGTTCGCTTCCTCGGCCACAATGGATTGTTTGGGGAGAGGGAGGGCTGCCCATCGGGTCTTTGTGTTTGAATTTAGAACCTGCGCTCCCTATCAGGCTCATCTGATAACCTGCTCGGCTACCTTCCATCTTTCAGGGGCCCTCCGCGCCGGGTTTTAGATACTTCTTATTTGAATGGTGGGTATTACGCTCCTGTCGGGGCTCCTTCCTGTAAGATGGTCGGGCCCATTCGATAGTTGAAGAACCTCTACATCTGGTTTTGGGTACTTCATGTTTGAATGGAGGTCCTTCCGCCCTTTTTGGGGTCCTATCTGTTAGCCTGCTCTGGCACACCCGATTATTCGGGGCCCTCTACATCATGTTGTGGGTACTTCATATTTGAACGGAAGCCCCTACGCTCTTGCCTGGGGCCCCATCTGTTAACTTACTCGGGCACACTCGATCATTCTGGGGTCCTCCACATTGTGTCCTTGGCACTTCCTATCTGAATGGAGGGCGCTACGCACTTGTCGGGAACCCATCTGCTCGCCTCCTCGGCCACGCTTGAGTGTTTGGGTGCCCTGTACATTGGGTCTTGTTTGAATTTTTTTGTTTGAAAATGTTTGAATTTAGGCCCCTACACTCCTGTTGGGGCGATCCTGATAATATGCTCGGGCACACTCGATCATTCGAGGGCCCTCTACATTGGGCCTTGGGAACTTCATTTTTAAATGAAGGGCCCTACGCTCTTTACGATGATCCTATATGTTAACCTGCTCCTGGCATACTCGATTATTCGGGGACTCTCTACATGGGGTCTTGCATGCTTCCCATTTGAATGGAGGGCCCTACGTTCCTGTTGGAAGCCCTGTACGCTAACCTGTTCGGGCACACTCGATTATTCGGGGGCCCTCTACACTTAGTCTTGGGCACTTCCCCTTTGAATGGAGTGCCCTACGCGCCTGACGGGGGCCTTATATGTCAATCTGCTCGGACAAACTCGATTGTTCAGAGCCCTGCACATTGTGCCGTGAGTATTTCTTATTTGAATGAATGGTCCTGTGTTCTTGGCGGGCCCCACCTTTTAAGCTACTCGGGCCACTGGCGAATGCAGGGGGTGGCTGGAGACACAGGGCCATGCCCCATGTACCATGTCGAGGGGACCTAAAGGCTCCGAAGGGGCCCGTAACCGGCCGAACGGTCGCAGTTTTCTAACAAAAAAATCAACAACAAAAACAAAAAACAAAAACAAAAACAACATTCGACGCCTTTGGGCCAGCAGGCAGCCAAGAACATTGCTAGTAAAAGCGAAAAGTTCATAAGCAGACGAAGTTCGTTCTTCGCTGGTTGAGGTATTGCTTGGGGGAAAGTATGGGGCTCATTACGCTGTTTGGAGGCATTACGCTGTTGATTGCCTTGGCCCTATATGTCTATTTGCCGGATCAATCTAAGGTCCCGTTTCCCTTGATCTCTTTGCATTTTCTCGTAGGACCTAACGCTGCCGTTGGGACACTATCTGCTTCCATGCTTGGGCACTCTTGGTCCATGCAGGTTTTCCTCCACGGATTTTTCCCATTCGTCCGAAAGGTTCCACACGCTTTTTCCGGGGCTCCATATGCCAGGGTACGCTTAGTTGCTCAGGGGCCCTCTATATTAGTCTCGAGTTCTTTCGACTTGCTTGGAGGGCCTTGTGCTGTTGTTGGGGCGCTGTAAGGTGAGGCACCGAGACATTCGATGTTCAGGGGCCCACTGATTTGATCAAGGACTCTCTCCCTTTGATCTCACTTGCAAGGACTCTCCACTCCTTCAAGGCTCTTTCTGCTAGCCTGCCCGTGCACTCATGATCGCACAAGTGTATTAGCTTATAATCTTGGATAATGCCCTTTGCTCGGAGGGTAATGTACTCTGGCCGACGCCATATATGTCAGCCTGTCGGGAGCACCATGGATCGTTTAGGGGCCCGCCACGTTAGTTTTGGGTTCTTTTTGCTTGCTCTAAGGGCCTTGTTCTCGTTGACGAGAGCCCCTTTGTTAGCCTCCTGCAGCACCCAGGATCTCTCAGGTTCCGTCGCTATTACCCTTGGTACTTTCGCTTTAGAGCGGCAGTCGAATATGCGCCGGTGAATTTTTACTTGCAATTGTCGAACGTAATCTTACGTGCCGCCGACATCATATGTGTCATTTCCATTGGCCATTGAGTGTGTGACACTTATTTTACTAGTGCATCACGCTCGAAATGTATTTTGAATGCTAGGATATCTTGTACTACTTTAAAACAAAGGAAAAACCCTGCGTTAGTCATCAGCCACCAGCTGATTACATCGCCCAGCCGGCTAGCCGTAAATAAGCTGGGAATGAAGTCCGTGCTTGGTTTTGATGGTAGTTAGCAGCCAACTCGAGTTAATTTTGCCTGTTGTTCTGAAATACTTAGCCTCAAAATTACAGCATTTGACGTGATCTGTAGAGCATGGATGAACTGTATGTACATGCATACGTAGCACACCGAGCTTCATAAGGCTGTGCACAGTAAGGTGGGTTTCCGTGTTATTTATGTATATATGTATACACATATTCATATATAAACTACATACTATTTGTCTTCAAAGGTGCTGACGTGAATGCAACGATATTTTCGGAGGGAGCCCTAAACTCTAGGTGCCCGGCCCCTTGGCGAAATCCTGGACCCGCCCCTGAAACCAGCGCGCAAAAAAACGTCTTTAAACGCCGCCGTATCGTTGGTGCCATGTAACTTAGTCCTATGATGACGTCACAACATCGCCAACCAATATGCGGTAATGCGGGGATTGATATTGTGCTGTTGGGCGCCAGCTTGTAAAAGAGTCGGAGCCTAGGGTCCTAGTTGGAACGTGGGGCGCGTGCGTTCCTCGTGCCTCAATAACCCTGTCGAAATGGATATACATGCGTTGCCTGAAACAGGGCATGATTCAGAAGTTCTCCCTGAAAATAATGTGGAAGAGCATGATGAACCATTTGACAACCACAGAGCTCAAGCACATCCAGAGGACCCTGCACTGTCACCAGGTGGGGGTGGCAGCAGTCATTTGCAGTCATTGACATCATGCTTACCCTCTCACCAACATGGTGAGGTGCCAGAGTGGGAAACAGTATGGTGTGTTAAACATATCTGGTGCAGGAACTATGATTCCGCAAAAATTTCAGTACATGTGCATAATGAACCTGAACACTCAGTTTGGTCCATAGTCAGCACTGATTTCAGCATATATGGGGTCGAAGCTTACAGGAATTTCCCACATTTCATGATGGGATTACTTTTATGTCAGTTATTAAACCAGTTAGTATCTTACAGGTTTAACAAAGAGATCTCCAACAATTGAAGACAACCCGAGCCTGAGGGTTCCGTTCAACCGTGGTAAGTTGTTTTTTTGCATGTAAATGCAAGTCATTACAAATGTAGCTAAGTGATCAGGCAGTTTCAGGGTTCAAAGGGCTTTTCTGACATGCACTTGGTTGATAAGAACTACTCTGCTGCTAACAAATTCCATGACCCTGTGTTTCTGAGTAGAATTTATTATCAGTTGTCATTTGTTGGATAGTAGACATTGAGTAAGTGAGAAATGCAGCCAGTCTATTACTTGAAAGGTCTTCCACATAATTTTGTGAACATAATACCCAATGCCAATTTCTCTTTGCATGCCACCTGGGTGGTTCCTATGTGCTTGGGTGCTGCTATGATGTCTCAACAAAAGTTTCATTCAAACTTGACTTATGCTGTTCCCCTATTGGGTGTTGAGCCAATTCTTGGCAAGCTTCCAGGCTTGATTCATGCTGAGCCAAGTCCAAAACTTGTGTAGCATTTAAGGACCTTTGCTGACATTTATCACAGGAATCTGTTTTCTCTGCATCGCAACTTTTGCATCACAAGTTTGTGATTTTGTAATGCATTGTGTTGCAGCTGTGAACATTATTACTCATTTTGCAAAGCCCTGTGGTAATTCAAATTAGCCCAGGAGCTAGCTGAATGGAAACAGAGTACCATACAGAATACTATAAGCATGGGTTGAAGTACTGACTGTGGGAAGCACAGTGGCTGTGCAAAGCAAGCATGTTCCATGCCGCCTGCTCTGGGCAGCATGAAATTGTAGGCAAACCTTGGTGGTGGATCAGTGAAGTTTTTGCACTTTTTGTGATAGTCATATCTGTCATCAACATTCATGTCATAGATTACACCAAGCTGCAATGAAGCCTGGTGGAACATGAACACATGGTGGTCACATGGAATGTTTGAACATGGTATTGCCCCATGGCCATTGCAGTTGCTGGCACCTCATTTAAGGGTGTAGTGACGTGCATCTCGTTCAGCATGATTCTGCTCGCTCACCAGCCCGGCTGACTGCGACCTGCACCCGTCGCCCGACCCAGCCTCTCCGTGAAGGTGACCCTGTCCCGATATGTCGGCAGGCTGGCGGCGCGAGGTAGTTCAGCGAGCGTGCACCGACGAGCAGCGGCCCGGCCAGATCCGCGCCGATGCTTACTACTTCTCCCCCCGCGGCAAGAAGCTGCGGTCCATCAAGGAGGTCGATGCGTACCGTGAGTCGGCCTGCGAACAGGTTGACCCAAACGTGACTGTTGTCAGGTGTTTGATGGTTACTTCTAGCAGGAGGTATAAGTGACTATATTCTACTTGATCTAGCTGTAGCATCTTACTTGAGTGATGTCGGTGCAAGAAATGCTTTGGGGGCCTTTTTCTGCTCGCTCCTCCCGGGCTATCGGGACTTCAGGAAAGTGAACAGGTCGAGAAACATTGTCGAAATGCGCCATTGTCCTGTGCTATATCGTTGGTGAAGTCTGACGGGCCGCGGCTCTTCTCCGCAGTGAAGAAGACGGGTTCGAGCCTGGCCCTGGGATGTTTTTCGTTCAGCCGCCATCTTCTGGGCGTCGGACGGCCGCTCGAGCAGCTGCGCAAGGCGCGACCGGTGGTACCGACCGGCAGCCCCCATCCTGCGGGCGAGAAGGCCGCCGCCCCCGCCGGCAAGGTAGACCAGCTGCTGCTGCTGTGGTAGTGTGGTGTCTGCGGCCATAACTTCCCCCTCGCTCAATCAGTTAGAGCGTCTGCTTCCCGACATACCTGTGGTGGAATGGGTGAGTTCGAGTCGTTTCGACTGTGGCTATTTGCTGCTGCCTGAGATGGCCTGCTGCTGGTGTCGGTGCCAGTCAAGTAGGTCAGAGGGCAGGGTAGACCGTGCTAAGCTTTGCAGCATGTTAAGATTTTGCTATCAAATTCTGTGTTGAACCGGAATCCCGCGATGAGATGATGGGGTCGTGGATCGCACAACAAAACTGCTAAGCACGACCTCTTGTCCCAAAAATCCAACCAAGCAAAATGCTCAGGGGAAAATAGAAAAGAAGATGGCACCACAGTGGACAGATCCGACCAATGTTTGCATGCCCGACTGGGCTTGGGTAGCCGTGGAAGCGCCGGCACACCTGCAGCTTTACGTCACCGGCTTCGTGATGCAAATGTGTAGGTCTGGGGTATGCAGGCGCATGGTTGGTGAGTGTAGAGTGCTGGTGTGCTGACACTGATATGTGGATGATTGCCCGCAGGTGCCAAGGAAGAACCATACCATCACAATTGGGTCGGCTTCATCTGTGATCAAGGTAAGCCAAGGCAGGGGCCAGGGAAACTGCCCATGAGTGAGCAACGCCCCTCCCCCCTTACGCGAGTCTGGCGTTTCCCTGTTCAGCATCAGCGCCATTCGTATTGGTTCAACGGTTTGCGTGCCCGAGTCGTCGCCACTCCTCCTACCTCCCTGAACTGGCAGTTTGCATCCTAAGCGCCATATCTGATAACACCTCCAGTTGGAGTCCGGGGTAAAGGTACGCGTTATTGCTGAACCAGCGCTCGCCGGGCGCACGCTATTGCTATGATCTAGTGCTGGCCCACGTCACGCTGAAATTCATTTAGTGTCATTTGTGGACATTTGTTCCAATGTTTTCATCAGGGATTGTTTCAGGTTGTTGTGTATGCCTTGACCCCAGGGCCCCAACCCTGGGGTCAAGCTGGGTGCCAGTCGGTGAGTGCTAATTGCAGTCCTCCGAGCCCAGCGGCGCGCTGCTAGAAAGCGAACATAAATGCGTGCCACGCAATGATCAGTGCAGAGCCCAAAATAAATGTGATATGTCTGAGTATCCCATGTCCCACCAACTGAGCCCCTGGGCTACATAGGCATATTCGTATGTGTCTTTCAAGTATATTTTCGTCGCGTTGTTAACTAGTCATGCGCGTATGATTACTACGCCATAAATGATCTGCATTATCATAAGCTGCTTTATTGCTGCGTATATTTACCCGGCGGAGGGGTGTTAGTCACTACAAGTGCCATGTTGGGCTTGTTTCAGATTCCATCCGCGCCAGTGTCACCACAGTCACTGCGAGTGCCATGTCCGGCTCGTTTCAGATTCCATCCGCTCCAGTGTCACAGTCACTGCGAGTTCCATGTTCGGCTCGTCTCAGATTCCATCCGCTCCAGTGTCACAGTCACTGCGAGTGCCGTGTTCGGCTCGTTTCAGATTCCATCCGCTCCAGCGTCACATCCAACTAAAGCGCCCCGGAAGCATTCACTGATGGAGAAGTCACGCAAGGCCTTTGTATGGAAGGCGATGGAGCTGAAAAAGAAGTTGCCTGTCTTTCAACCCGATATGTCCAAAGCCAAGGTATCAGGATTGAGCCCGCGTTTCATTTTAGCCAAGGTGTGAAGGATATTCCCGCATTTAATTCTCTATGTACTTAATGCAAAAGCATTGGAGTTCCTTCCCACATTTCATTTTTGGATAAAATTAGCATGCTCGCTGAACACGTGTTTGTAAATATCACAAAGCCCCCAGCGTTGACCTGAAAAACGGGTACCGTCACGAATGCGCCGTGGCCCGGTTGCCATGGTGACGCCAGGGCGTGCGTGTGCCGGCAGCCGGCGCCAACTGAACGCAGCCAGCCGGCGGCGTCCGCGGCGTCGTCCAGCTCTGACCCGCACCGTGTGTTAGTGCGGCGGCCGTGGCAGCTGGCCGAGGTGGACGAGCGCGGTCAAGTGTCGTGCCGCCAGCCGCCCGACGGGCCCACCACCGTCGAGTACTTCCGGCTGGTGCGCGCCACGGCCGCGCCGCACAGCGCCGACAACGTGCAGATCGGGTGAGGCGCCGCCGCCCAGAGAGACGGCGCCAGCTTATCCGGTGGCGGTCTCGAAGGGGGTTGCTGTACTGCACCACGTTTGAATCTTTCAGTCGTGCGCCGCGTTCAGTAAAAGCTGAAACAAGAAAGATCAAAGGCGACGCTTGTCGAAAGGGGTTTGTCCGGAATAATTTTTAAGTTACCTCTCGTTGCTGGAGTGATCAGGGTAGTTATTTCGATATATCCAGGCTGGCCACGTCCATAAATTTCGACGCATTGTCGGGAGACTGCAGGTAACATCCCACCGAGGTGCAAGTGACCTAACCCCGTCAGCCGAGCCGTGTCTGACCCTTGTCCCGGCGCGGCATGTCGCAGGCAGAGGCGGCCGCCGACGCCGTGCAGTCTGTTCTGCTTCTCGGCGGAGGGAGAGGCGCGGCCGGCACTGCCCTCCGTCCAGTGCCTGGTGTGTCGCTGCCTCTCACACGCCTCCTGCGTCGGGCTTGACGACGACGACAGGCTGTTCAGCTTTGTCTGCGTGGTGAGTGCGCCGCCGCGGTCTGCGCGGCCCCGCCGCCCGGCTCCTTCCGGGCTGGCGTGAACGGCTCGGTTACGGTGCTTTGCTTAGTGTTGCCGACTGGTTCACATGATGCGGGTAACTATTTTCGACGCTGTGAAGCCGGTGATAATATGATGCCGTGCGGAGAGAACGAGAATGCCCACTTCTACGCGCGGTCTTGCCTGATTTTATTGTTCTGTTAACCGTGAAAGCTTTCTGTTTTTTCGCGGTACCTTTTCGGCGAATACTTTTTCTAGCATTGTCGCGAAGCGTAAGTGGCGTGTTTCCGTTACCGATTGTAATCCGTGTGGCCGGCACACGGGTCTGCTGCCCAACTGCGCACGACTACACGTCGCATACTATCAGTCGTTCTGACAGCGCACAGTAGAACGCAAGTATTCAAGGAAATTTCCGTCGTAAGTTGGGCAGGAAAGCGCGCCTCGCGTCGCTTGTGAGCAGCGAATCAGGGGAGTGGCGGCAGCTGCCCGTCGGGACGGTAGGGAGGTCACGTGACTCTGACTGCCGCGACGCTCTGACCACGCCCCGTGTCTCCAGGACTGCTACCTGGGCGTGCAGAGGGGCCTCGGCTTCGACGGCGTCGGCGACTCGGTACCGGCCGACTCCGACTCAGACCCGGACCCGGGCGGCGCCAGCGACGGCAGCATGGAGGAGCTAATCCCGCCGCCGGCCGAGCTGGCACTGCCGCTGCCGCCGCTGCCGTTCGCCGCGTCCGGCCGGCCGCCCATAGGTGAGCCGGCGCCGGTCGGCCCGTGAGCTTGCGGCACGGACGTCCCGTCACGAGCGAACACTGGCTCCGCGCGCTGGGTCCGCAATCCTCCGACTTGTAGTAGCTGGTGTATAAGCATCATCCGCGTAGCGTCTCTAGTAAGTACACTGTAGCAAGCAGTTAATGCTGCAATGACGTATTTGTGTATATTGTGGTGTAAGTAATAAAGCCTTTTTAAAATATTGTATTGGGGAAAGCCATCCATCTTTTGAGATCGCCATTATCCAGTCAACAGCGTGGTTTGGATGTCTGCAAGTGCCAAGCTCGGTCAGTCAATGCGTGCCGGTCCCGCCGCTGGCTGTGTGTCAATATAACGCCTGTTTCCCTGCCAGATCTGCCCTGACCTGACCCGCCACCCGTGTCTACTATCACGCCTGTGTACCTGACAGACCTGACCTGACCCGGCGCCCCCGTGCAATATATAATTTTTCCTTCCTCTCAAAATATACCTATGTCCCTGCCAGACCTGACCTGACCTGACCCGGCGCCCCTGTCAACATCACGTCAGTGCCCTGACAGACCGGACCTGACCCGGCGCCCTTGTCCAATATATTTTTAGAAAAAGATACACCTATGCCCCTGCCAGACCTGACCTGACCTGACCCGGCGCCCCTGTCCGTCGGCAGGTATCAAGCGGCCGCGCGGCCGTCCGCGCCTGATCGGACCCCGCCCCGGCCGACCTCTGGCCGGGCCCGGCTCGCGGGGCCGCCGCGCGCGTGGCCGCGGCCTCCGCGGCAGTCGCGGCAGTCGCGGCGCCTCGCTCGCCACCGTGGCCGGCGGCGACCGTGCCGCCCAGATGCCTGTCGTGCCCAAGAAGCGCTCCTGGAAGGACCCCGAGTAGCGGCGGAGGCGGGCGTGCGCGCCGGCTGTGTCGCGGTGTGGGGGTGCGGCTTCTAAAAAAAGACGTCGCGGACTACAGCCGCGCAGGGAGAGGGTCAAGGCCAGGGGGGCAGGGGGAGGGGCGGCACGTGGTGGAGCTGGACTGGAGCCGAGAGCTGCCGGCTGAGCGGCGGCGCAGTGAAAGCGGTGGAAGAATGCGGCCACCGGTACGAATGGTGACTGCGCTGTTGGACATCAGCGGGACCGAGAACAACACTTTCGGCGTACAGCTTACATTGTTGTGGCTTGGATCTGGAGAAAAAAAAACAAAGTCACTGGTTTGTCCGAGACGGGTTCTCCCATGTTTTTCTAACCGACACATGGCGTATGCCCCACACCGGAAAACCAACACATCGGTGCCGAACGCAAGGTGGTCAACTTCGTGTTCGTGTTTCTGCAAAATGAGGCGAGAAAAGGTGATCCTCTGCAGACTACGCATCGGCCACACGTACGCAACCCACCGCTATATGTTGGAGGGAGCCGATAAACCTATCTGCCATCGATGCGGCGCTATCCTTACCGTTCGCCATGTCCTTGTGTCTTGTCCGCGCCTCGTGGAAGAACGCCAACGTTACTTTGGACAGCATGATTCGCCCCTTACCCCAAGTGATATGGTAGGAGACAACTCACAATTTCTCGGAGCTCAACAGATTTTCTTACTTCTCAAGCACACCAACTTTGGAACCATTTATGCTGCTTAATAGATGGGTAAAACAATACACGTCATGGGCGCCAAATGACTACCGCAGTCGGCGCGCCCCCAAACTCCAATAAACAACAAAGGTGTTCAACTTTGCGATTTAGGCCATTAAGTTTTCAGTTGCTGCAGACTAGAAATCGTCCAGAGGTTTGCGGGGCTGCCATTAGGCATCAAAGGAAGCAACCAAATGCTTCTACGAAACCTTGCTCAGGTTTTGAAATGGTGTGATGTCGCCATGTATGTGTAAGGTCTGCTGTTCTGGCGTCTCGCCTCCGGCTCGCTGGTACGTTCAGTACGTCCAAAAGCACCCCTGTATTTCACACTTCACAGGCACTCCACACAGCCGGTTCCGCTGGAGCGCGCGCCCTCGCGCCGGCAGCTCTCCGAGTCTTCTTCGTAATTCCCCCTCTCCTGGCCCTCGACGCTGTGTCCCTCGCGCGGGGTGCCTGGGGCAGAAAGGGGGGGGGGGGGGGACGCAAGCGCCTTAAAGCGGCGCTCGCCAAACTAAGCAAACATTTACTGGCAACACATAGATGTTCTCTGACGCCTTACATATGCAAAAGTCGCGATTTGGGAAGGATACCCGGAACTATTTCGCGAATTCTGAAATAGAGGCAAGTCCTGGTGACTGATGTAGTCGGTATGGCTACATGTACGTGTCTGTAGGTGTAAATATAATGGGTGTAGGCACATGTAGATGTGGGTGTGGTCCTAAAATATTCTGATGTTGGAGCCATTTTGCCTTTGTGTGGCCGAGTGTCCAAATGTTGCGGACGACAAGCACTGTCGTGCATCTGCATAGCCAAAAGCCTGTGACGCGAAGGTGGCGCGGCGTTTCGTTCGAATTAAAGGGTACGCACGTTACCGGATTACCGTACCAGTGCATGGCGTTGCTGAACGAAAAAAGGCCCTGAAGGTGGGAAGTATCCCGAACGAACGTGGGAAGTTCGCGGTCATACGACAGACCTTCGGTTGCACACCTTGTGTAGAGCAGGGAACGATAGGAACGGGCACGACGAGCCACCGAATCCAGTTGGCTAGCGCACCAGTTGCTTCCCCGGTGTACCTGTGGGCAGAAATGGAAGGGGTATGAGTTTCGGTAATCTGCTCATGTGCCTCTCGCACGTAACTCAAGGACGCGGCGTGTGGGGTGACAAGTTGATTGGATGCGCCCCTCTCTCCACTCCCCCTACCCCCCCCCCCCCTAATTCCACCCACAATTAACATACAGCTTCGCACTCTCGTAAATTGGCTCAGTGGATGGGTGAGCAGGCGCGTCTCGGCGACGTCGGTCAACGTCATTCTATTTCACGGTCCCGTGGTGTTTTCCCGATCAGCTGGTTGCAACGTCGGCGACGGGATAGGTGTTGCTGCGTCGGGAGGCGGCAGGCACATGTCGCGGTCATGAATCAACCGGGAATGAAGAAAGACGGCTGGGTCAGAATATTTGAAGTGCCATGTTTTGAGAAGCATGAAAAGGGATATACCATCTACAAAATCACATCCAAAGTGAGTATCTTTCCGAAAAGACCCGATAGCCGCTGCGTAATTTGTGCCATCAACTGGCGTTTCACTTTATTTTTGAAGACGAAAGAGAAGGGGCGCCAAGGGTGAGGTTTTGTACTATGCTCGTCCGCTGGGATTTGATGACGTCACGGTGTTTGTTGCCCTCGGTTACCCAGCAGGTCAGGTGCTCTGCTGCCTTCCAAAACTTGGGTGCTATATTGCTATTCATTGAAGTCCTCAGGGCCGTACCCACCGATCAAAATTGGTCCGGTGCAATATCATTATTTATACTGTCTGTTATACTTTCGGTACTGACAATTGTTGGCCAGCCTGTAGTGCAACACGTTTCCATGCTCTCTGTGTACCCAGTTCTACCGCATTTTCCCGCCCTGAAATATTTTGTGGGGATTGCTCTTGTTGCTTAACCCCGGGGAAGCCAACACTAGTGACGGCTCGCTCCCCCCCCCCCTCAGTTAGGCTTCACCAGCGCGCAATTTGTTGTCTGGCGTCCATTTTGGGTACGTAACTCTGCAATGTATGTGTCACTGTTATTGCCTGCATTTCAATTATTATCTGATTCCGAGATCATAAGTGTCTGCAACTGATCGTTTCATCATGATTATAGAGGTTTTGCGTAGTAGCTGCCCCCCCCCCCCCCCCCCACTCACTGCCGAGCATTACAAACGATGACGTCATGGAACGGATTGAGCATACTCTGGGAAAGATCTCGCTAGTCCGTTGTGGCTCTGCGTCGCATTGGCCACTGTAGTTTTACGCCTGCGCTGGTGAATCCGATATGCCGAGATAGCGATGAATATATGCAACCATTTTGTTGATATCCTGCAAGCAACCACACATCTGCAATGCGGGAGATGCGTAAAAGCCTGTCAGCTTGATGAGCACAAATGCATTATCATTGTGATTTGTAAATTTTGTATTTTAGTCATTCTTGGCAATCATGGTGTTCCATTGCTGTGTTGAAGACTGTTTGTGCCTGACATGCTCTAAAAAAACACTTCATAGCTATGGGTGCATCCCCTGCAGCTGAGTGTGCTGTAATGCCCAATGATGCACCAAGAATGACTTGTTGCATGTGCATTTAAGTCATCAGATGCAATGTGAAGTACTTGAAGCATAAAAGTCAAGTGAATCACCATCACATGGTTCTGATCAAGTGCTTGCTTTGGATGAGATCATAAAAAACTATTTTTCACACTGACAAAGGCCATTTGAATCAGGAATCTGATCACAAAATCAGTTTTGTGTTTGACATGACATTATCTTATAAATGCCATAATCTTTGCTTCCTGTGGAATGCACCCAAACATGATTATGTGTTTATGCAGGAGCATATCAATTGTTTGTTTTAAGTAATAAGTTGGTGAATATGGAATATCTCAGACCAGCTACATCATTTTCATGTCTTGACAATTGCAGGTTTTTCCATGCTTATCTCCTGAAGCAAGTACTCAAGTCACTGTATGGAAAAGGTACAATGAGTTCAGGAAGTTACACAAGGAAATGGAGTCTCTGCATTCTGCACTCTATTTGAAGGGAACATTTCCAAGTTTGCCCAAGACAAGCTATTTTAACAGGTAAAAGTTGTACATTTTCATTTTGTGCAGTTTTGCTCTTCGTAAGACTTTCCATATGATCCATGTTTACTGGCTGCCTTTTAGAGGGCTCCAAACTATGTCTTATATTTTTGTTGTTAGCATGTTTGTAAAGCTTGAGCCATCATTCTAAGTTAACTTTATTGTGTATGTCAGATGTTTATCATGCAGGCTCAAATTGCTCTGCAGTCTCCAAGAGCTAGGTGTTTCTTTCCTGTTTTGCTCACCTGACACATGACAACAGAGCTACCCCATGGCCAGATTCGAGGCACCGGTGGTGGAAGAGCGGCAGGCGTCCATCCGTGCCATGCTTGAGTTTGTGGCCCAACACCCGCCGCTGTTTGCCAGTGCCAGCTTTGCCAAGTTCTTTGAGGTGAGTTTGATGGTAATTCTTGGTTCTATCTAAAGCATATGAACACTCCTTTTCTGAAAAGAAACAAGCGATGTAGCTGAGTTGGAATTTACAGAGGTGCCTCTACCCTAGTAGCTAGCTTTATAATAAGCTGCAGCAAGCTTGGAAGCACTATAGACACCTGTTGGCTCCATGCGTCTGTCTGCGGGGCGGACTGATGACGTGTGCCGCGTCGGCAGGACGGAGACTGCCGAGCGGTGAACGAGGCGGACCGACTGCCAGCGGCGCTCATCCCGCGGCCGCTCAGCCCGGCCGCCTCGCTCGGCTCGTCCCAGACGGGCAGTGACGTCATCACGCCGCCGTCCGGCGCGCTGCCGTACCCGGGGGAGCCGCCACCGTACCCGGCCGGCGCTGCTGAGCTGCCGCCGTCGCCGGCGCCGCCAGAGTCGCCGGCTGGCGGATGGCGCGCCCTCCGCGGCGCAGGCGCCTCCGGCAGTGACGGACAGCCTGGCGTCGCTGGACCCGCTGGCTCCCGACGGCGCCGTCGACGGCACCAGCAACCTGCAGCTACTCAGCGGGCCGCCGCAGCCGGACCTGCTGCGCGACCTGGACCGGGTGAGGCCGCCGTCTGGTCTGCGCTCCGTGGCTGCCGGCAGAGATTTCTGCGAGCGGATTTTCCAGGATCTGCGTGCGATCCTGGAACATCTGCAAAGCTGGCTGTCGCTTCACGTACGGGGCCCGTGCCCCCCCCCCCCCCCCCTCCCCACCGTTGCAACCGTCACCACGTGCTCCCTGCTGACGGCCGCGCCCCGGCACGCCGAGCCAGACGTTGTGTCGCGGGTCTCAGTGACCGCGCGCCTCCCGCTGCAGCCTCCCCTCCCCCCGCCCCCGTCCCCTGTCGGCTGGTGACGACCCTGCCGCGCCGCCGCAGGCGCCGTCACCGCCCGGCTCCGAGCTCAGCCTGGACAGCGACGGCGAGCTGCCGGACCTGCCGGCCGACGCCGGTGCCGCTGCCCCAGCCGCTCCGGCCGCTGACACCACCGCCATGCTGGCCCGCCTCGACGCGCTGCGGCTGTCGCCCGGAGAGGCTGCCGAGCCGCGGCTGCAGCCCGGCCGGCCGCCGGAGCGACCAGAGACCGCGGCCGAGGCGGGAGTCGAGGCCGGCCCGGCCGGGGGGCGGCCGGACGGCGCGGCCGAGGCGGGAGTCGAGGCCGACCCGGCTGGCGAGCGGCCAGACGGCGCGGCCGAGGCGGGCGCTGGGGACGCCGGCCGGCTCCGTCCGGAGCAGCCGCAGGAGGACACCGCCCAGTACTTGGTCGTGGTCAGTGCCTGACTGGGCGACAGGAGATCGTGGCGACGGCAAATGCAGGCTTGGTGGCTTACTCACTGCACGTGAAGGGGCCGCTGATCTGTCTCAATATTGGCCTTTTGTGATACTGGTTAGCTATGATTGTATGGAACGAATTGAGTTAGAAAGGTGATTAAGCTTAATACTTATGGAGGCTTCCTTATTGATTTCTCATCGTTTTTTCTTCTCTTTTTGCGTAATTGTAGAATGGCCTAGACTGCGTAAATATTTGTATCGGCCATGGCGCCTGTGCTGGCTTGGCCCGGTGTTCTGGTTAGCTGCAGAGATTCAGTGCGGCGCCCACGCCGCCCAGGAATGACCAGTATCCAGCTCGCGTGAAGTGAGGCCCAATCGCTGACCGGCGCCGTCCCGTCCGCAGGCGGCCAACGCCATCTGCCAGGCGCAGCAGGCCGAGGCGCAGTGCCTCTGGCAGCTGGCCTTCAATCAGTACCAAGAGGGCATCGGCACACTCATCAACGGCGTCCAGGGTGCGTGGCGGGCGGACGCTCCTCCTGCCCAGGGGGCGGGGGTGGAGTGGGATGCTGCCACCGCGGGACGCTGCGGTGGGATTAGCTGGGATCATACGGACGCCGTCCTCCGGCGGATCGGGGCGGGTAGGGTGGGCGGATGGGCGGCGTGCGGGGAACGGCTCGGTGACACGCTGGTGGAGACGGACACCCGCGAGGCTCCAGACCCGTCCGCGGCGTTCGACCGGTGGTCAGTTACCGCGCCGCGGTCCGCTACTAAGGGGGGGGGGAGGCGGGGGGAGAAGCTCAGCTCAAGAAATTTCATGAAAATCGAATTTAGCGCGTCGCATCCGCACACAATGTCCTGTGTCCTTAAACAACACCGCGTATTCTCCATCTTGCTTTGTGTGCATGTCCTGGGAATTTCGATAGCAAACTGTCACGTGCTCAATGATACCTGCCATACATTTGGTGAGCGGTAGGAGGGGGTGGGGAGTAGGTATACATGTCCCCGGGGGCTTCCGTGTGGGTACGCGCCTGCCCGTGGCGAGCCTCCGCCATCTCCGGCGGCGTGACCGGCTGCCTGTTGTGCCAGGCGACCCCAGCCAGGAGCGGCGGGCGGCGGTGCGGCGCAAGACGGCCATGTACATCAGCCGGGCCGAGCAACTCTGTCAGCTGCTGGACGGCCAGGAGACGGCCGATACCCCGCAGGTAACGGCACGCGGTCCGCCCGTCTGCCTGCCGGCCCTCCGTCAGTCCGTCAGTCGGCAGGTCTGCCAGCCTGTCAGACTGGAGGCTGTCATGCTGTCAGTCGGTCAGTCTGTCGGTCTGTCAGTCTCTTTCAGTCTGTCTGTCAGTACGTCTGTCAGTCCGCCTGCCTGCTAGTCTTGTCAGCTTGTCAGTTTGCCTTTGTGTCTTTCAGTCCGCCTGTCTGCCGGTCTTGTCAGTTTGTCAGTCTGTCGGTCAATCTGTCTGTCTGTCGGTCGGTCTACCGGTCTTGTCAGTCTGTCAGTCTGTCTGTCAATCTGTCCGTCTGTTCGTCGGTCTACCAGTCTTGTCAGTCTGTCAGTTTGTCAGTTCGCCTGCTGCGTTGGTTGTCACCCAGTCGGCTGTAAGCCCCTTGCTCAGCCTGTATTCACATGCATGCCCTGATGGCGTCTTCAAGGTCACTCATGTCCTGGCAGCCTTATTATATGCACTGTGTGTGACTTAAATTTTTTGAATTTTTGATTTTTTTCCTTAAAATGTTACGTGTTTGCTTTTGCCTGTTTTCCATCAAGGGTTCTTTCTCTGCAAGTCCTTATAGACGCATTGACAAGGCATAGAACCACTCTCTGCAAGTTCCCGTAGACGCGTTGACAATGCATAGGACCACACAGCCAAATTTTTGGGAAGTCATTAGTGTCTCTGCTGACAGCATCATAAGTTATGACAGTGTAATTTCGCTGTTATACAACTCACTATATCGGGTAGCATGTTGACTGTCTGTATCAGTCTGGCGAACGGACCGTCCTAGTACATCCGTTCGGGTAGTCTGTGTTTTGGGTACTGTGATGTCCCCCTGAATCGATGTGGAAAGCATTGGCTCACTCACTGTGCGTGTTGCGTTGTCTCTCGCTGTGTTGTTTTGTCTTTCTTTGGGTGATTCGTGGTCTCTTGTGTGGTCTGTTTGTCTCCCGCTCCAATATTTGTTTTATCCACCTGCATTTATGACGATTGTCCCTCCGCGCCGGACGCCTTTGCCCATCGGCACATTTGTTTGTTGTCCCTATACATGGGCGTTGTCCGTCACTCTGTGTGAGCTGGGATTTGAGCTCCAGAAAAGTATGCCTTTGTTGTCTCCCAGTGTGGGTGATGGCTCTCTCATTGTAGGCGTTTGATGCGCCCCCCCCCCCCCCACACTCTGTGTGAGCTGGTAATTGTTCCCGGGGTGTGTTTGGTAACTTCCAGTGTGGATGTGTTCTGCCCCTCAGTGTGGGCGCTCTGTCCATCATTGTGGGTGTGTTTCTGTCACTCAGAAAACACCCGTCGCTCTCTAGTGTGGGTGTTCTCTGTCGCTCGGTGTGGGTGTGTTCTGTCGCTAGTGTGGATGCTTTCTGTCGCTCAGTGTTGGTGTGGTCCGTCCCTCAGTTTAGGCATGTTCTTTTGCTCAGTTTGGGTGTGTTCTGTCACTCAGTGTGAATGTGTTGCATCCCTCAGTGTGGGTGTGTTCTGTCCCTCAGTGCAGGTGTGTAGGGTTCCTCGGTGCGTGCGTGCGTGCATGCGCGCGTGCGTGGGTGGGTGTACCGTCGCCTGCCGTGTGGGTGTGTTCTGTCCCTCAGTGTGGTTGTGTTCTGTCACTCATTGTGGGTGTGTGTACCGTCGCCTGCCGTGTGGGTGTGTTCTGTCCCTCAGCGTGGGTGTATGTACCGTCGCCTGCCGTGGGGGTGTGTTCCGTCCCTCAGTGTGGGTGTGTTCTGTCCCTCAGTGTGGATGTGTGTACCGTCGCCTGCCGTGTGGGTGTGTTCTGTCCCTCAGTGTGGGTGTGTGTACCGTCGCCTGCCGTGTGGGTGTGTTCTGTCCCTCAGTGTGGGTGTGTGTACCGTCGCCTGCCGTGTGGGTGTGTTCTGTCCCTCAGTGTGGGTGTGTGTACCGTCGCCTGCCGTGTGGGTGTGTTCTGTCCCTCAGTGTGGGTGTGTGTACCGTCGCCTGCCGTGGGGTGTGTTCTGTCCCTCAGTGTGGGTGTGTGTACCGTCGCCTGCCGTGTGGGTGTGTTCTGTCCCTCAGTGTGGGTGTGTGTACCGTCGCCTGCCGTGTGGGTGTGTTCTGTCCCTCAGTGTGGGTGTGTGTACCGTCGCCTGCCGTGTGGGTGTGTTCTGTCCCTCAGTGTGGGTGTATGTACCGTCGCCTGCCGTGTGGGTGTGTGCCGTCCCTCAGTGTGGGTGTGTGTACCGTCGCCTGCCATGTGGGTGTGTTCTGTCCCTCAGTGTGGGTGTGTGTACCGTCGCCTGCCGTGTGGGTGTGTTCTGTCCCTCAGTGTGGGTGTGTGTACCGTCGCCTGCCGTGGGGGTGTGTGCCGTCCCTCAGTGTGGGTGTATGTACCGTCGCCTGCCGTGTGGGTGTGTTCTGTCCCTCAGTGTGGGTGTGTGCACCGTCGCCTGCCGTGGGGTGTGTTCTGTCCCTCAGTGTGGGTGTATGTACCGTCGCCTGCCGTGTGGGTGTGTTCTGTCCCTCAGTGTGGGTGTGTGTACCGTCGCCTGCCGTGGGGTGTGTTCTGTCCCTCAGTGTGGGTGTATGTACCGTCGCCTGCCGTGTGGGTGTGTGCCGTCCCTCAGTGTGGGTGTGTGTACCGTCGCCTGCCGTGGGGTGTGTTCTGTCCCTCAGTGTGGGTGTGTGTACCGTCGCCTGCCGTGTGGGTGTGTTCTGTCCCTCAGTGTGGGTGTGTGTACCGTCGCCTGCCGTGGGGTGTGTTCTGTCCCTCAGTGTGGGTGTGCGTACCGTCGCCTGCTGTGTGGGTGTGTTCTGTCCCTCAGTGTGGGCGTGTGTACCGTCGCCTGCCGTGGGGTGTGTTATGTCCCTCAGTGTGGGTGTGTGCACCGTCGCCTGCCGTGGGGGTGTGTTCCGTCCCTCACTGTGGGTTTGTGTACCGTCGCCTGCCGTGTGCCGCTGGCCGGCCGAGCCCGGCCTATGTGGGCGCCTGGGGGCTCGCTGCGGTCACGTCCGGCCGTGTGTGTTCTAGCGGAGCCGGCGGCTCAGTCGCCTCTGTGTTGAAGGTGGCCGCCGGCTCGCCGCCTACAAGATCGTCGGACTGACTGGCGGACGGCTCAAGGTCGCCGACGCCGACACCGGCCGGCCCTTCGTCGTTAAGGTAGGTCACCGGCCACACAGTGACCCAGCGGAGGGCACCGCTGTCAAGGGGAGTACCGGCACCGGCAGCATCTGCCCTGGAATCTCATGTTGCTCGCTGTCATTAAGAAATCGAAAATGCGCCATCTGGCGGTAACTCGCATGAGATACCAGTTCCTAAAAGATTACTGCGTTTTCAGAAAATTATGATAAAGGGTTGCCGGGAATCATGACCAAACAGTATTGCCGGCGCCAATGGCTTTTATGGAAATTACCTCAGGCCGTGCATGGCGTCTTCCCGGGGCACGATGGATGTGCATGTTAACGGTGCTTTACTTCACCTCTCTCGGGCGTGAGCGTGTGTTTCTGTTACAGATGTGTCTGTTCCGTGTGGCGGCACCCCCAGTATTTCCAGCTCGCATTCGTGCTGTTGTTATCGGCTGATTTATCTGGGACCCCTCCACCCATCACTGTCACCATTCCCCAGCCAGTAGAGCACCCCCAGGTGCCCCCAATGTCAGCCAGGGCTGAAAACCCCCAGTTTATAAAAGCTCCTAGTTCCTAGTAGCCCCTAGCTCGTGACAGTTCGTAGTTCCTAGTTCTTAGTAGTTCCTAGCTCTCATATTATATTAGCCCCGAGCAGCTCCTAGCTCCTATTACCTGCATTGCCTTAATTTCTGAAGTCCCCAGCTCTTAGCTCATAGTCTGCCCTGCCGCATTGTCTGCCGGCCCGGTGTCTACTGCGTCCCAGCGTGGACCACCAGCTCTCAGCTCATAGTCTACCGTACCGCATTGTCTGCCGGCCCGGTGTCTACTGCGTCCCAGCGTGGACCACCAGCTCTCAGCTCATAATCTGCCGTACCGCATTGTCTGCCGGCCCAGTGTCTACTGCGTCCCAGCGTGGACCATGTGCCGACGGCGGCGGACGCTGCCCGCAGGTGGTGGAGAAGAGCATCGGCCCATCGGCGTCGGCTCCGGGAGCTGCCGCCGCCGTCCTGCCGGAGGGCGTGCCTCACATGGCGCCGCTGCACCAGCTGGTGGAGACGGAACACGCCTACTTCTTGGTGCTCCACTACATGTACGTACTGAGGCCGCGGCCGCCCGACGCCAGCCGTCCGTGGAGGGGCAAGGCGGGCGGACTGAGGGCGGCAGTGGTTAGCGCGTCGCTTGCTTGGTTACCAGGCCAGATGTCGTTTGCAGGGGAAGTCGCTGGCTGAAAGCACCTAAGTGGTGCTGACAGATTGTGAAAGTGCTCTTTCGTTGGGTTGAGCATTATTACACGTCATGTTAAGTCATGTGTTCTTGTATTCCATTCGTTTGTTTTTACAAAGATTGTGTGGTGTATCAGTAGCCCAAAGGCTCAGTCTTGACTAGGTGTCCCAAAATGCAATGTGCGTAATACACGACCTAATACACGCAATTCTGTGGTCAAAAGAAACTAAGCGGGCATTTGATAACTCACCTTGCTGTCGATAACTGACTGAGTACCGTTAGTACAATTATCCATGCAGCCTTGCGTACATTCGCATTTCCGCCGCTAGTGCACGCTGTGAAGGAGTCATTGGGGTTATGTCATGTCACACAAGCCCGGTGTCTCTACTTTCCCCATTGGGGCGAGCGTATGATCAAGACAAGTTCACAATAGAGTGGATAATGCCTTGCGGTTTTGACGTCCACCACTGCTCATGCGGCCGTCCGTGTCCTGGGATGAGGACGTCCGTGTCCCGGGATGATGACGTCCGTGTGTCGGTACGACAGGGGCAGTCCGCTGTGGGACACGCTCGCCGGCGACCCGGAGCCGCAGCGCCAGCAGCCGCCTGGCCCGGACGCTGCCTCTGCCTCCTCTGCGTCTGACACCGCCTCTCCCTCGTCTGCCGTTGCCGCCGCCGCCGGGGAACAGGCAGTGCCGTCCGGCGCCGACCCGGCGCCGCCGCTGGCCAGTGTCCCCGCCCCGCTCGCGCCACCGCCGTCAGCCGAGCGCGGGCCGAGCGACGCCGACGACGCCGGGCTCCGCTCCGCGGTCAGCAGCGCGTCCCTGGCCGACAGTGGCGGCGCCTCCGCCAGCTACCTGCAGCTGTTCGAGGAGCGCGAGGCGGCGGCGCGTCGCGGCGGCTCCGGCTCTGTCGGCCTGGCGCGCCATCTCAGCTGCCCAGAACCAGAGCCGGAGCCGGAGCCGTGGCCGGCGGCCGGGCTGGCCGGCTCGCCGGACGCCCTAGTCGGGCGCACTCAGCAGCTGCTCTCGGCCGTGGAGCGGACGCTGCAGATGCGGGGCCGGCGGCTCACCACCAGCGGAGGCCGCGCGCCGGCCGCGGACGGTGGGTCGGCACGAGACAGGGCCGCTGGTCACCCGACGAACGGTGACAGTGGGACGGTGAACGGTGCAGTGAACGGTGCCTTCGGTGACTGCGGTAGCAATACGGGTGTTGATTCGTTTGCGGGTAATTGTTGTAATCCGACCGCGACGGCGGATGTTCGAGGCTCGTGGAGCCTTGGTGATGATCCTGCCTCGAGTCCGTGTGCTCTGGGCCACACTGGCGGCCCAGCCGTGAACAGTGCCTCTTGTAGCGCCGTCAGCGACTCGGCACCGACGGCGGCCGATGTCGCGTCTCGTCACCCCTCGGGAGTGTTGGCGGCGGCCGCAGACGACGCCACTCAGCCGCGGCCTCCGGACGTCAGCGACATGGCCGGCGTTACCTCGTGGAGCACCTCAAGCGGCCCGGCCGTGGCCGGTGTGGCGTCTCAGAACTCGGCCAGCGATCTGACCGTGCGCGCGGACGGCGCGTCGTCGCGCGCCTCCCCGTGCGACCTCGTCGAGACCGCGGCCACCGCCAGGGAGCAGAGCTCCGCCGACGGCGCCGCCGCGGCCGGCCACAGCCCACCAGGCTCGGTCTGCGACGCGGACGGCGTCGGCGCGGCGTCACGGAGCTCCGGCGGCGGCCCGGCTGGCGGTGCCAGGAGCGGGGACACGGCCGACGCGGCGCCGCCAGCCGGCCGCGAGCGGCGGGTGCGCCTCTGGGCGGCGCAGATCGTCACTGCTCTGGACCGCCTGCACCGGCAGGGCATCGTCTGCAGGTGAGTGCGCAACAGCACGAGCATACGCTGCCTGACATCTAAGGACGGTGCGCGCGTGGTATACCGCGTCAGTTACGAAAACACACGGGTGACAGTACGCTTGCAGCGGCATCACTGGAGAGCCAGACTTTAGAACGTGTGCTCGCGTGTTTCTTGGAGTGAGTGCGAAGTGTCTGTGGCCAGTACCGGGCGGACTGCATGAGCCTGGCTCTCCGGGGAGGCCGTGGCCGTGACACTCGCTCGCTGACCGGCCGGCAGGGACCTGGGCCCGGAGAACATCCTGCTGACACCGTCCGGGGACGCGTGCCTCACCTACTTCTGCCGCCTGCCGGCGGGCCGGACATCGCTGTCGCGTCGCGCCGCGCGCCGGCTGTACGCGGCGCCGGAGCTGACGGCGCCGGCCGGCCGCGCCTCGGCCGCCGCCGACTGGTGGAGCCTGGGCGCGCTGCTGTTCGAGCTGGTGACGAGCCGGCCGCTGCAGCGGCTGCACCCGGCCGGCCTGCACGAGCTGACGGCGCTGAGGCTGCCGGCCGCCGCGCCGCCGGCCGCCCGCTCCCTGCTGGCGGCGCTGCTGCAGCGGCGGCCGGAGCTGCGCCCGGACGCCGGTCAGATCCGCCGGCACCCCTTCTTCAGCGGGCTGGACTGGGGCCGGCTGTGACGGACCAGATCCCTCGGCACCCCTACTTCAGCGGGCTGGACTGGGGCCGGCTGTGACGGACCAGATCCCTCGGCACGCCTACTTCAGCGGGCTGGACTGAGGCCGGCTGTGACGGACCAGATCCGCCGGCACGCCTACTTCAGCGGGCTGGACTGAGGCCGGCTGTGACGGACCAGATCCGCCGGCACCCCTACTTCAGCGGGCTGGACTGAGGCCGGCTGTGACGGACCAGATCCGCCGGCACCCCTACTTCAGCGGGCTGGACTGGGGCCGGGTGTGACGGACCAGATCCGCCGGCATCCCTACTTCGGCGTGCTGGATTGGGGCCGGCTGTGACGGACCAGATCCGCCGGCACCCCTACTTCAGCGGGCTGGACTGGGGCCGGCTGTGACGGTCCAGATCCGCCGGCATCCCTACTTCAGCGGGCTGGACTGGGGCCGGCAGTGGCGGCATGCGGACGCCGGGCCTGTCACGGGTCGGAGGTGACGGCTCGGGCCGCGGCTGGCATGGCGCCCTGCTGCAGGCAGACGAAGCATTCCAGAGGGTGGCACTCAGCTAACGCTGCTAGCATTCGCTTATGCTTTAATGCTTTAAAAAAACCGGAGGATGGTATGCGCGTTTACGCGGCTTATTCGCATGGAATCGACCATATTGTGTGCAACTGGTACGTATTGTTTTTACTCACGTATGCACCTTCTTGTAAGCGATTCACCCCATTGGCTGGGGTGGCGCACCGCATTGATTCAGTACACTGGCGGCGTGCTGGCGTGAGCGCACGACCGTGGGACAGGATCCGTCCTTCTGTGGACGCGAAGTCGAACTCGAAGCGACGCCGAGCCGGGCGGATTCGGACGCGGATGGCCGTGCCAGTTACGTGGAGCGCTGAACAACCTGGTGTATGTCACACTGCTTCGGGGTACGGCGTCAGGTGCGTCCCTGCAGCGGCCAGCAAGGTGATGCTTAGTTCATGTACATCATTATTGCGAGCTTACCATTTGACATATGCGGGGCATTGGTAGCCGCCTGGGGACGATGGTGTTCGTGCCATTTGTATAGATTAAGGGTGGGCGTCGCTTATCTTTGTATTCTTCTTGGCTTGCAGCTGCATCAGGTGCGAAGGGAACGTATTGCCCACCTATAAAGCGTGCACTGATATGCGCGATGCTGACATCACGTATACCACAGGCATTATTACTATGAGCCCTAGCGTGTTCCTGTAGCCTGTGCTGTACGGATCGCCGTAGTCGCCTGCGTTACGTTAATGACACTGATGGCCTGGCTGTCGAGGGACCACTGTTCTGCGATTCTGGTCCGATGTGTGAATCACATCACATCATGTGATACCCACCAAATACAAAGAACTTGTTCATGTTAACCTTTATGTAATGATTGAGTACGGACCTCTGCATCTATTGCGGACCCAAGCTCTTTCTCTAGGGAACGGCTAAGACTAGTGGACGCGTTGTCCGTCGCGTCGCGCCGATTTCTTCACTTCCTACGTCGAAGATCACTGAGGGTGCAATGCAATAGATTGATATTGTGATTGGTGATCCATTTCATCGAGCCGTTCATGAAATCTACTGAACTACAAGTGAACCGAAGACCGATAATTACCGGCTGCTGCCAGTAAACTGAAGACCCGAAACGTAGCTAAAGGAAAGGCATCAGTCAGTTACTGAACTGGGCTCAGGTGTCGGCACGGTTTCGTTCTCCAAATTTTGCAGCCAGCCGGCGGCGGACCCCGAGCCTGGCCTGAGGTGACGGCGGCGGGCAGGGAGTGCTCGACGGCCGGGAGCAGGGAGGGAAGATCAGACGCGGCGACGCTTGTAGCCGATGGGACGATGCTGTTGGGCAGTTGCGACAGTAGTGTACAGTGCAGTACAGTAAAGCACAGTGAATTGCAGAACACAATGCAGTGCACGAGTCCCTTCCGCGGACAGCAGAGTGCATCTACCTCTCGCGTAGTCGGATGCAGTTTTTTTATCCGTCCCTTCGCAGGTCTGTGCTTATAGGCTGCCATCTTGTCTCTAACAAGGCGCAGCAGCGACGAAACAGGCTATTACCTCGCACGGTTTGCATGAGGCATCGGCCTACAGTGCATTCCGTGCATTTGCGTACGTCGCCCGTTCCGGATGCGTCCGGCGTCGCGTGCGGGTTGCTGCCGCACTCAAACGGAGTAGAGGGTTCGCACTTCTCGCTGTTGCCGAGGTGGGATATGCTAAACCAATGTCGGTGCCATCAGATGAAGAGGTTACGGGAGGGTTTATTCACGTAATTCCAGAGAGACGTTGGCCGGCGCGTTGCCGTAATGAGAAGTTCAGTCGCATGGCCATGTATTTTTGTGAATGGTGATGTCGGCCCTCTGTTCTTTCATGACCACATAGGCATATGGGATCCGAAGGGCCAAGGGGCCCCTTTGCTCCCAGTATCTTATTACAATATTGCGGCTCAGTGTCATGATTTTAATTTATGGGTGGTTATTGTAGCTCATGCTACAGGCTACCATATTTCCATCTCCCATAATACCATGGCCTTTGCAGGAAGCACCATGGACTGTCCACAGCCAGTGCTGCTGACCAAGGAGTCAGGCAATGAGGCAAGACCTGCCTCTGTGGAACGTCCCATCACTGTTATGCGCAAGGACGAGACAGTGGTTTTACCTTCCATAGAGCCTGCTGCTGAGCCACGTAAGAGGGATAGAGGTCTGAGGTTATATTTTTGTGGTTGTTGTTTCTTTGTTATGATGCCTTTCCAGTTATAGTAAATGTGAGGGGAGACAAATTCAAGTTGCTCAGTTCAATGTTGACCCTATCCCATGACAACAGTGAGATAAATGTCAGCACAACTGGTAATATTTGAACAGACTGGTGGCTACCATCTGAACCATGTTTGTTGCAACTTAAAGGGAAAAAACACTGAAAAGATGCTAAAAGCTGGGGATCATGTGCATGGTTTCTCCACACCATTTTCAATCTTCAGCATAGCAAATGGGTTGAGTGCAGAAATGGTGTGGTTTTACTGCTCCCTGCATTGCCTCCCAAATGGTGCAGACTAGCAGATTCTACTAAAGTGGGGGTGCTGGTAGTGTAGTGGTTAATGCTTGTGTGTTAACCACTGCATGTCCAGGAAACCAGAAGTACGGGGTTTGATTCCCAGCGGTGCCCGCCCTTCCTGCCAGGGTGAGAGGCAGGCGACGCTATATAGCCTCAGCAGCTGAGTGCGTCATAAAGCCCCAATGACACACACATACTAAAGTGGTGTGTTTGATGTGATGTAACCAGTTTCTGCTCCATAAGGTGTACTCTATCTGCACATGATGTGGCATCCTGGGGTCTCAGTCCACAGCTGTGTATGAGCTGTATTTCTCAAAGATATTGTTAGAGCTGCAGCTAGGGAGCTAGTAGATATACTGAGTGCTGTGTGTGCATTTTGTAAGTGGATACTAGTAGCTGAACAATATGTTTAGTTTCATTTCCCAAAATATATAAAATTACTGTTATGATAGCGCATATAGAAAGGACTTGGAAGTTAACCACCACATATTTTGTCTATGTGGGATGGGCTCTTTCAATGTGAAAGATTGTTACAAAGTTATAAGATGGTGTCAATTCCAAAGTGGGACTGGCAAATTCTTATTGATCATCGATTTGTGTGCAGTTTCAGCACAGTAAACATATACATCTTTCCTCCCCTAGGTCCGGCATCAAGAAAGCAGCTGAAAGAGCATGGACTGCTCCCTCAGACAATGTCCCGGCCGTGTCCACTTCTCAACGAGAACCTGCAGATGGTGGACACTGCCATCTCGTGGCTGGGGGAGGGAACTGAGTATCTAGTCGTCGGCGTCGTGGGGCGCCAGGGAGTCGGTAAATCGACGGTCATGTCCATGCTGGGCGGAGAAGCTCCATTTTGCCCGCTCAAGTAAGCCATCACACCATATTGCGCAAATTGTGTTGCTCTGACTCGATTTGAATGTGGATGCGCGGTCTTGGTTCGAATGCTCGGCAATACCGATAAGTATTATCAGGTAATGGAGCTAAACCGTTACAATTGGACTCCGCGGCATCAGTGACTAGACTGTTTGATGAGAAAGCTCAGTTTGCGCGGTGAAACGTGTTAGGGGGGAGAGGGCTGAGTGGGCAACTGTAATCCGGCCAAAGGAGGGGGGGGGGAAGGGGGTCGTGGCTGTGGCGTGCTCTAGGCGTGCTCAGCTGTCGACTCGGGTCCAGGGCTCACAATGGAAACATATTTGGAGACCTGAACCTTCTCGGCACAGGGGTCCGGCGCGGGAAATCGGTTATCATTGCTCTGTCCTCGCCATCCTATACAGACTGCCTGATTCAGTTTACATAGCATCTATTCAGGTGAAAATAATAAAAAGGAAAAATTCCAACGTGTGATCCGCGGCAGGGTATCTGTTTAAGCTACCGACCACAACAAAATCAACAGAGCAGTGCTTCGCTCAACATGTCGCGAAACTACCGTGGTGAACGTCCCAGGCGTCACATTCCGTACTTGTCACAAAGGCCAGTGGCTCTATCCTGAAGCCTTCGGGGAATAAAACTAACGGAAACGCCTTCTCCCCCGTTACACGCCGACATTTTCAGTCTTCGTGGTGATTTCCTCCCAAAGAGGTCCAAAACTCCCCGATTTTAGCCGCAATCAGCCCCCACCACCGTCGCACATCCGCTTCACCGTTCGCCGGCCACCGCCCGCGTCATTGTCGCGCCACGTCCCACAGGAAGTACCTGTTCCCGCCGGAGACGGTGCAGCAGGTGCTCAACAGCGAGCACCGCACCAACGGGGTGGAGATGCTGGTGACGCCGCAGCGGGTGGTGCTGCTGGACACGCAGCCGATCCTCTCGCCGTCAATCGTCGACCTGCTGGCGCAGGGCGACCGCAAGCTGCCTGGAGACAGTGGGTACGTGCGCTGTGCAGAGCTCGCTGCTGACGGACCGCAAACGGCCGCGGCGCCATGGCGACGGACCGCAAACGGCTACGGCGCCATGGCGACGAACCGTGGCGGGTGCGGCGCCATGGTGACGAACCGTGGCGGGTGCGGCGCCATGGCGGCGAACCGTGGCGGGTGCGGTGCCATGGCGACGGACCGCAGACGGCTGCGGCGCCATGGCGACGAACCGTGGCGGGTGCGGCGCCATGGTGACTGACCGCAGTTGTTACCGGAGTCCGCACGCAGTCCTGTGGGATGCATGCCATGCCAATAGGTCACAAAACTGTTGCGTCATAAAAAGGAACGTGACACACGTTGTCACGCCCCGTAAATAGAACGTCAATGACCGCACTGACCATGTTAGCGCTCAAGGACCATGGCATAACCGGGATGCGAACTCTGGCCCCCATGCGGGAGTCCCCACGCGCCAACCATTGGAGGATTGCTCGTTCGTAGGTCACGGAACTTCTTTGGTATAGCGACAGGGAATGCAATCAGGGTTCAGATGTCTGCAGGCTGTGTTGTACTGGCCGTATTGTATATTTATTTGTCACCGTTTATGCTTGGGCTTGTTGGACGTTTGATTTCTTTTGACGTCGTCACATCACTGCTGCCGTGACACACCGTGCCTGATACGAGCCACGGTCACCCGTCGTCACATCACTGCTGCCGTGACACGCCGTGCCTGATGCGAGCCACGGTCACCCGTCGTCACATCACTGCTGCCGTGACACGCCGTGCCTGATGCGAGCCACGGTCACCCGTCGTCACATCACTGCTGCCGTGGCACGCCGTGCCTGATACGAGCCACGGTCACCCGTCGTCACATCACTGCTTGCCGTGACACGCCGTGCATGATGCGAGCCACGGTCACCCGTCGTCACATCACTGCTGCCGTGACACGCCATGCCTGATGCGAGCCATGACCATCCATTGTGACTATTGCAGGCCTGTTTACACTAGGCGTTAACGTTCCCAGTGCATCCCTCGTCGGCATCTTGCGCCTTACCAGAACAGCCCCGTATTGGTCCTTGGATCCCAAGTGAAAACCGGAAGCTCTTTGTGCATTTGCTAGCTGCACTTGCGAGACCCCATTTCATGGACATTATCTACTTAAACGACCGCCATCCCATTTAGTCATTTGCAGCTGCGGCAGCCTGTCCTGCCTGATGACGGCTCGTGCAGCGCGAGCACCCCAGCCCCGCGCTTGTCCTGGGACGTACGCCGTCGTGACGCGCTCGCGGATGTGGCGTGGTCGTGCCCCCCATCGGCGGGACGGCAGACCCATCACGACGCGCACGCCGCTGCCGGCCAGGTCGCTGGAAACGCAGATGGAGCTGCTGGCGCTGCAGCAGCTGGCCTTCCTGTACACCGTCTGCCACGTGGTACTGGTGGTGCAGGACTGGTGGGTGGACGGCGACCTCGTCAGGTCAGTGGAGTGACAGACGGGACGTCAGGTCGCCGTTGCGGACGGGGGAATGGACTGATCAGTCTGCCCCCGCGGCGGTGGTTTGGTCAGGTCAGCTGCGCGTCTGGTGACCTGATCTGGTCAGCTGACTCATCTGCGACTTCGTGAGGTCAGTGAGACGGGCCATGACATTGCCAGGTCAGTCACTGACCTGATTGGGGGTCTGGACGTCAGATCCGTCACATAGACGGCGACCTCGTCGACTCGATGGCGGACCCGGCGACCCAGCGAGCGTGCCGAACCGGTCAGTGAACCGACCAGGCAACCTGACCTGGCCGACCGCCGCCGCGTGCGAACCCTGTGGCCTCCGCTGCAGGCAGCGCCTCCAGACGGCGACGGGCGAGATGGGCCATCCCGGCTCCGTTCGGGGCGGCCCGCCAGCTGGGCTCATGTGACGCTCGTAAATGCCGGATGACGTGGACCCTCTTTCGTCCGCGTGCCGGGGGCCGGGGCCTCTGGGGACGCAGCGCCGGGCGCCACCCCCCCCCCCCCCCTCCGCGTCTGCCCTCCCCCTCCCCTTCCTGTGCTCCATAACGGGCGGCCAACAGCCTCAAGCCAGTCTTCGTTAGCAGCTGTTTGGGCTGTCGAGAGCAGTCACTGAGCAAAAGAGATGAACGACGTCAGAAGTGGGTTAACAACCTGGCAATAGCGATGTTTCATTGGGACGGAGGGGACTGCACTCAACAGGTGGCGCTGCTGTGGTGCACTATACGTAGTGTGTTGAGCCCGGACAAAACGCGACCCCCGTGACCCCGGCAGTTAGGACGTCGATAAACAACGGGACGAGGCGGTGTCTGTCGGGTCTCCACCCGCCCTGGTGTTTTCTTGTCCCCGAGACCACGTTAGGGGTGACATTCATCACTTATGTAGACCGGCGTGAAGCGCCCTCGGTATGTCAGCTAACGTCCCCGGATTAAGGGTCGGTTGAGATGGCATCCTAGCCAGCTTGTCCCGGTCCATGGCCCAGGTAGGCGAAGGCCCAGGCTGCGTGGCCAGAGAGTGGCATATTAGCTTAGATTTCGCGGCGGTTATTGTAGTGATTATTGTAATAGATTGTGTTGGAAACTTCGCTTTTGACGTAAGGAATAACTGCGTCACTGCGGTGATGCCATTTGGCAGTTAGCTCTTACCAGATCGGAAAGTATCGTAACCATTGAATTCGTGCGTTTATACTACCGTAGGCTCCAGGATAACCGGGACTTTGTGTAGTTATTTGAGAGGAAACATCGTGGAGTAGCTCAAGTCGTGAGCTCAGCCTTTCTAAAACTGAGGTTGTTTAAATGACGCGTTGTTGCTTGTTTCTTGTGATGGATATGACACCATATACCGTATTTTTAGGTGATGGAGTAGTATCGCCTGTGCAGATGGTTGTAGCTAATCCTCTTTTATTGCGAATGAAATCGGACAACGATAAAACAAGTGGTGGTTTGAATTTAGAGCCGGAAATTTTATACTTCGTATGATATCGTGTGTTGTTTTCCATGATGAGGTTCACGTTGTCAGTGCCTGTCAGATGAACGATGCCGTCTACCTGCGATGCGACTTTACAATGCAGTCTTTCTCAGCCGGGGCATGGAGAAAAATACCACGCGATGGATAAAACAAGTGTCGACTACTGCCAAAAATGCATAATACTGAAAAATGCTTAGAGGGAAAAATAGGTGACGCTTTGCAGGACTTTGTGGCCGGCCGAGCTCCACGTTTTCCGGTGGGGACTTCTTTTGGTGGGGTCCTAGGCTAAACATATTGCATTCCAACATGAGTCGGACATTTTTTAACTGAGGCGTACCGAGCAGGCTGGTTTTGCTCAGCCGTATCGAGCTATGCCACCTACAAGTTTGTCATGTCTGGAGGGCACCATACGGTCTCGCTTTCTGTGGACATTCCACGGACGTGACAGACTTATTTGTCGGTAGCCTTTGATGTCTTGAATATCTCGACGCTGAGGAATAGTTACCTAATGACCCATAACACCTGTAGATCGGTAGCTGATATAGCGCTGCCGACCGACGAATTCCTGCCCCTCAGACTGCTGCAGACTGCGGAGATGCTGAAGCCGGCCTCGTCGACGGCCCTGTCGGACGCGACACCCACCGAACACTACCCGCAGCTGGTGTTCGTCCACAACCGCTGCACGCTGGCACACTTCCAGCCAGACAGCATCAGCCAGATGCAGGTGGTCGCCCCCCCGAACGGCGCCCGACTCTGGGGTCACACCCGTGACACCGTTGGCATGCCCATTTGTCACTGTCACCTGTCGTCTTCCGTGTAATAGCAGGAAACGGTGGATCTGCAAGTGCCCGGGGCCTCCGCAAGTGCTGACTGGTTATGTGGACCCACCGCTGATACGCGTTGGTCAGACGCTTATGTGTTCATCACATGCAAATGACCGTTGTAGATTTTCCGCGCCTTGGCGCTGTGCTCAATCAGGTGTGTTCAAGAATTGTCCCGAAAAACTGACGATTTTCTGTGACTTGCTTGCAAAGGCGTCCGTTGGAGCGGCATCACACCCTCAAACATCACCGCGCAGGTACCGGCGCCGCCACTGGAACCGCGGTGTGGCTCGCGCGGGTCGTCGGCTCCGGGTTAGCGGTCGACGTTGCGACGTCAGTCCGGCACGGGGCCACACGAGACGGGCTGGCTCAGCGTGGGCGGCCGTCTCCCCGCCGAGCAGCCACCCTCCGAGCGGGTCAGACCCTCCCTCCCGCCGCCGCCCGGGCCGAGGAGCCACCCTCCGAGCGGGTCAGACCCTCCCTCCCGCCGCCGCCCGGGCCGAGGAGCCACCTTTCGAGCGGGTCAGACCCTCCCTCCCGCCGCCGCCCGGGCCGAGGAGCCACCCTCCGAGCGGGTCAGACCCTCCCTCCCGCCGCCGCCCGGGCCGAGGAGCCACCCTCCGAGCGGGTCAGACCCTCCCTCCCGCCGCCGCCCGGGCCGAGGAGCCACCTTTCGAGCGGGTCAGACCCTCCCTCCTCCCGCCGCCGCCCGGGCCGAGGAGCCACCCTCCGAGCGGGTCAGACCCTCCCTCCTCCCGCCGCCGCCCGGGCCGAGCCTGGCTGGACGCTGCTACCGTGCGGGTCCGGGGCCGCGCCGCGTAACCAGCCGGCGCACCGGCGCCGGGTCAGGCGCTGTCGCGCGCTGACGGCGGCGCGCCCGGCAGGAGTTCTACCGGTCGGCGTTCGGCTCGTGCGGCCTGTCCGTGAGCGGCGGCGTCGGCGTCGGCACCGGCCATGTGGTCAGCCAGGCGCAGCCGGAGGTCACGGGCAAGCCGGCCAACCTGCTGCTGCTGCCGCAGTTCCTGCCGGCCGAGGACGGCGTGACTGAAGGTGCGACGTTCGGTGTGGAGGGCGCCGGCGGGGACAGAGGCGGGGCTTGGCGTCACCGTGCGTCGGCCTTCAGAGGGAGAAATGGGGAAAGGTGGCTTATGCTGGTGTATGATTACTGATTGGAGGTATTTTGGTGCCATCTATGGAAATATTTGATGTTGATGTGTATGCTGGCCGCACTAAGTCGTTTTCTACTCGTC